TACAAATAATACAAGGGGCTCTTATTTTGTTTTTTTAACTTATCTGAATCTTCTACAATTTTTAGACATAACAAAATGGCATATTACTTTTGTTATCAGGAAACATGGTTAAAAACATATGTATGACTTGTTGACTCAAGTGTTTTGTTATATTCCTCAATAAATCTTAGCCTTATTAGATACATAAATTCTAAATCCAAAACACTTTTATAAAACACTGCAAATGTTACTCTAAATCTTTGGCAGCCACTAGGAGATACTCAAAAGAGCAGTGAGTGTAGTTGATCTTTCATACACTACTGGAAGCAGTGCAACCTATTACAAAGAAAACTAGGCTATGAATTAAGAAACTTAATTGCCACAAACAACTTATGAATAACATATTAAATATTCCTGCCTTTACCCACTCCTTCCAAAAAAATAACTAATCATCTATCTCAGTTTTATAATGCATATATATTATGTATAATATCACACATCTTTCTTCTGTATCTTAATCCTGCATCCAAGGTATAGTGAATTTAAATGAGTATTGTTAGAAAATAGAGAAGTAGAAACTAAATTTTAGGTAAAGAAGCATTTCTTCAGTCACCTCATAAAGCATTTCTACCATATTGAACGTTTTACACTGAAATTACAAAAAATTCACTAATATCTATCTCCAAGAGTGTCACAGTCACCCCATCAGCAATATTTTTTCTTTAAAAGATTCTTCTTTTACATTGTGGTGCTGAGTTTTGAAAGCACAGGGCAAAATTTTCCTCTCCCTATTCTTAATTCTGCTATATACCCATAATCAAGTTATGTATTTAAAATGCCTATACTGAAACACACTAGTACGATAACTTCCTATCCCACAAACACACTAAATATTGAGTGTTGCATAAGATGTCTGGCTAAATGCCTACTTTTAACATAATCTATAGATATATATTTATAGTTTATTATCTATATAATGATGATACCTCAAAAATTTTGAACTAGAAAAAAACTCATTGAAATGCTTTTTTTCCCACTAAATGGATAGTTAAGTATATAAAATAAAAAATACTGGGAGTATATGTATCCTTCTAAACTGTTTGATAATTACATACTCATTCATTACTTTATAATTATCTGTTATGGATTAGCTACTTATTAAGATATATGCATATACATGTATACAGATATAACTGTCTGAAGAACATATAAACCCATAATGTATTACTTTGAAAAAAACACAAATATAACTTTGAACCAAGAAGCATGAGATTTTAAGAAAGTATGACAAACAATATTAAATTTTCTTTTACAACAGTTTCATTATAGTCTCTTACAGATGATGCATGTATTCACGAGCTTATTTTAAAAAATATTTTCAATTCTGCCCACCTTACTGTGCTCGTTTATTTTACTTTCAGTAAGGCGAGGCATCCTTCATAAACACATAATCTATTTGCATTTTTGTAAGATTTTCAGACAGTCTACTTATTTTTCTATTTTTTTCTTAGTAATTTGGAGGTACTTGTTATATATTACAGCTATTAGCCTCTGTTATAGTGATTGTGAATGTATTTCTATTTGTACTTTAACTTTTCTTATTTGTCACCAAATGAAAGGCTCCATCATCATTATTTGGTAAAACAAAACAACACTAACCCTTCAGACTTCTTGTATTCCATGTCAAGTACATAAAGGCTTTCACTATCACAGTCATTTTTTCCCAGTGTATTTAGATTTTTATCATTTCTTCCAACAGTTTTTTGAGGTTTTGGGGGTTATTTAAGAGGAAAAAAGACACAGAAAAGAAAAACAAAAAAACAAGAGCGACAAACAAACAACAACAAATTCAATACTATAACAGTATAGTTTTACAAAACAAGATGATAGGAATTTGACAATGCTTGTGGTATTATACATTGTTACCTTCAAAAAGGTCGCTTAGATTACAGATATAGACATGTAAAATTGGTCTAACCATATGAATATTAACTGTTTTTAATACAATTAGTTTAGTCATGTTAGCTTTTTATGTATGTAATTACATATATACAAATATACACAGAAATTTACATATTTTTCCTTTTCCTTTCCTTGTTTCTTCCTGTCCCCTATCCCAATTACTTTGCCTCTTTGACCAGTTTCTTACCATTACCCAATATTTACTAGAGATTTTGGATCATATATACTTTTTCAGTTTCTTACACTAGGGAGACAATACAGTATTTACACATGTGAGTTGATTTATTTCATTTATGAATATGATATCAAGTCACATTCATTTACTTATAAAAGTGTCGATGTAATCTTTCTTTATAGCTGAGTAGTACTCCATTGTATAAAAATACGAATTTTTTTTATCCATTCCTTGATTGATGGGCACCTGGGTTGTTTCCAAGATTTGGCTATTACAAATTGTGTTGCTATAAACATGAGTGCACATATATCACTGTTGTATATTGTTTTCAATTTTTCTGGGATCATTTCAACAATTACAACATTCAATCTAACCAAAAACCTAGATGAATAAGCCAAGGCTCAAAACACCAGTATTTCTCTCAACATAGCACTTGTAGAGATTTCTGAAAATTATTTTCCAAGTGATAACACTGATTTCAACTTATAGATATTTACTTACCCATAACAATTCCCAAATAAGTTTCTGAACTCCATTATATTTGAATTTTCTTTTCACCATTAAAACTAAGTAGTTATCTAATTTACAGGTTATTCTCTAAACTAGCTATTCTCTAAAAACACCTTTGCCTGCTGACTTTCAGGATCAACATTGAAACATGTCATTTAAATCTTAAAGCAGAAAAGTATAGAATTTTTTCAATATAAGATTTACTTCCAGGATTTTTCCACAAACTTTGACATTCCTTTTTCTTATCTATCAGAAAATACGACAAAATAAATGATTAAATATAAAATAATTTAAATAAAAGATAAACTAATCGATGTTGATTCTGAAAGATCTTTATTGACATATATAATTTAATGTTTTACTACACCACTGCTATATAGTCACATTTTTTACAAGTAACTATTTCTAATTCAAAGAATACTACAAGATTCATCTGTTCTTTCACACATACAAGTTTTAGAATTAAGATAAAAATATTTTGGTTACTGTAATTGCTTTAGGATCTGACTTCTACAAATTTGTGACAACTAGATTGTTGAAATGGACACTATACCCATCTTGTTAATATTCTGAAGTGATAATAGCTTTCCTAAATGTAAACACTACAAGCACATTTATACAGACTAGTCTGAATATAATTATTTATTATTAACAGGTTCAAAATATTTTAAGAGTTCAAACACTTTTAGATTCTTTAAAATAACAGGAACATACTTTGAAGACTGACATAAGCTACAAAATATACATTCAAATATAGAAAGTTATGTCTGTAATACTTCAATTTACCCTCAAATGCCCAAATATTCAACAGAAACAGTAATACAGACAGAGAAAGAAAGAATACACTGAGGGTGAAAGGGAAAGGAAAGAGAGAAAGATGCCTGCAAACATGAATGTATGTGATGGTGAGTTCATTACACTATTGCAAATTCTCTGCAAATCTGGATTGTTCTAATGAAGGTTTCAAAAATTGGCAAAAGTGACAAAAGAGTACCAATAGCTGTGGTTTTACTTAGGTCAAACCTGTCTGGGGAAGAGTACATGAGGTTATGCTCCTTGTTAAGCTGTACATAGCTTTGAAATTTTAGCATGAGACACAATGATAAAAGGAGCTCTCTCCAACCACTCCCCACAATGCCACTCAATCCTTACTGTACCACCCTGCTCCAAGTTAGAAAAGTCAACAAAGAGTTAAGGGGTATGACTTTTCTGGATAGAACATTGTTTTTAAATACAATTGTTACCAAGATGAAAAAGATGTGCCCTTAAAGAGAAAATAGAGACACATTCATTCTATTACCTAGAAAACAGTTAAGCACTTAGTTCTGATACAAATTGAAAAATTCCCCAGCTCCAATAAATGTTTTGAATTTATTAATGCTTAACTCAATGAATCTCACAAATGCAGCTAAATAGAAAATGAACAAAGAAGACATCTGATTTTATACTGATTTGTTTGTAATATGTTAATTAATTGTTAATTCTTTTTATAAATATTTCTGCAGAATCTAAGTTGACTGATATCCTTGTTATAACAGCATCCAGTCCTATTTTTATAGATTACACTTGGATTCATTGGGACACATTCAGGAACGCTAACCTGTAGTACCCCTTCTTCTCAATAGCCAGCAAATAAATATCAGTTCTGCCAGCAGGAGACAGACTATGTACTACTTACTGAATGAAGCTCCATCACAGAACCTACTGAAACAAAACAAGGGGTAACTATAGAAACTAGCAAGCTCATGACAGAAGTGAAAACCTGCCATTTAATTTTACCTGACTGCTGTCATTTGGGGAGTGCAGACCAGATTCGTAAACATTTCCATTTCTCATTAATGAAATTGAAAATACAGAATTTATACAATACTTCCTAAATACATGAGATTGACAATGTCTTAACGGTTTTAAAACACACAGTAGTCAAACAAACTCTTCTACCTTTCGTCTACATAACAGTTTGTAACCTTTGCCTTAAAGTAGTCATAAATTTGAAAAAATCGAAATTATAAACAGTGACAGAGAGGGGCATCCATTGATTTACTGAAACTTTGGATCATGTTTAACCATACCATTCAAACTTGTGTTTTAATGTTTAATTTGCAAAAATAAATCCACAAAATCTAATCTTGAAAAGACTTCTTTAAAGAAAATTTCACTATATTCCTAACAAATCTTTACAGCCAACTGATTCTGTATATGGAAAGTAAAAATAAAATTACTTTTCAACCTACTTGAAGTTAGACGAAACAAGTTAAAAAATTATAGTAGACTTTTCAATTTTTATTTTTTGGCATCTAAGGAAAGCAAAATACAATAGAAAGATACAGCTCATCTGTTTAGCAGCCAATTTTTTTTAATTACAATTACTCACCTAAGGATGCATAAACAAATTTTGCCTCCTGATGTGAGTCTGCAGAATCCAAATCTCTGTTTACTTTCAATGTCAGTCAGTACAAAGGTAAAGTGCTGTCCAACTTGATTTTGAGACACCCTAAAATATAGCAATATTATGAAAACTTAAGTATGGCATGACAATTTTCTTAAAGAAAAATCCAAAAATACATGTGGTGGTGTTTTCTATAGTTGATGTTCAATTAACTGGTTCCTGAAGTTAGAATTATATTCTATACCTAGACAATGAATATGAAATGAGTAAATTAAATAATGAACCACACATCAAAGTTAGATGTAATACTTTATAGGTTACACAATTCAGCATATATAATTCCTAAGTAGAAAATCAAAAAGAATTTGCCATAGTTTTCAAAAGCCTAAAGTATCATATTTTTACTACATACACTGGAAGAAGCTACACAAACTAAGTCCTCATAATAGCTTCTTTTTTCCCCCAATTATTCTGCTTTCCACAGTTATTAACTGCTTAGATAGCAAACCATGTTTTAGAACCTAATGTCAGCCATTACCATTTCTGTTTAATTGCTTATTCTGTTGACATTCTCACCCAATAGAGTACCATACAAAACACTACTGGTGTTTGTTTCTCAGCATTTGTTGTTACAATTATCAATATATTGAGGATAATATTTTCAAATACAAATATGAATGTGATTTCTACGGAAGAATTACACTGGCTAAGTTATAAAGAATTCTAGCTAACTTGAACTATGTGTCATAGTGTCATAATATGTGTCACATCACAGTACAAAGACAAATATAAATTATTAGATAAAATCAGTAAGTATTTATACACTGGCTATAATTTTGGTATTAGATAACTAAATTTCTGGTTCCTTTTCCCAAACATAATACCAATGACACCTAAAATTTAGTTTTAAAATAGAGTAAGAGATGTAAAGAAGGAAATAAACTACTACCAATGTGCCTATACTACTATTTTTTCAGGAAATATTACATTTCAAATGCTTAATATTTAAAAAATATACTGTTACATGGACAACGTTTTAAAAATTTTAATAAACATCAAATAAATCTTCCAACGACTACTATGCTCCAAGTTTACAATATCCTTTGATAACTTTTCTTCTTTTACTTTATTCTTACTATTAATTTTCAGATAGTAACTTTGAGGATGGGGGAAGAAAACTAATTCTTCAGAAATTAGAAATAAGAAGTATCATCTCAGGAATAGTTATTAGTATCAATTAGCTCATAATAGAAGCTTTTATCTTTAATACAATAACACTTTGCAGTCTCACTAATCCTTATCAAAATATTTCCCTATAATAAATTTTGTTTAAAAAAACTCTTACACCATCCCCTTAAGAAAGCTAATAATATGATATGAAAATCACATGAAAAACAATAACTTATGTATCATTAGACTCAAAGGAATCTATATTCTATTAAATTCCAACTAAATACATGTAGTACATTCAGTATTTGTTTAAAAAAAAATACAAAAATAAGACTTCACAACTGCCACGAAGCCTTCCATAATACTGCATTATTTCTATGAAGCTATTCTTGGGAGACAACTGGCCATGAGTTTTACATCATACAGATGGTCTTTTGAATTAGGATGAAGTGAGGCACCAGGATATATACGTCTAACTTTAAAAGATATTATGTGAAAGTTCAGATCAAGGACATATTTTTCCTGCTAGTTTGTATAACATATACCTGAAGATTAGGGAGAAAAATATAACTTATTTGTAATTCTGCTTTAGGTACTCCTCCATTCTGGGCATGGTGGACAAAGTATTAGCTATTAAAACTGAAAAGGCTTCTTGATTACAAATATCATTTAATTTAACTTGAATCTTTAGCCTTTACTATTTCTCTAGAAACAGTTAAGATTATTTGATTTCTGAAAAACCATATGTAATCATTTTAAAGTGGGCTAAGATAAATTAAAGTTATTATAAGTATTGATTTATACTGTACCTTTCAATGTCAAAGGGAAAGCAGAACTTTGGCACGCTCTGTAGTACTTCCTATAAATGTAAATTAAAAAAAAAACTTTAGAATACTTTTGAAAGATGCAGTTACAACTTTTTAAAGATACTGTCTAGGCAAAATCTTTTTTCTTCAGAAAAATAGTGCAGGTTCCTAGCCTAAAATAATTGATTATTAAAAAGGAATTAAGTTTGTGCTTTGGCAGATTGCACTGACAATGCCACAGAAGCCACAGGAGGGAAGGGCCTGGCCTGAAGGGTATTAACACCCTTCACATCCCCGCTGGGATTCCCTTCAACAAGGCCATATGGATTTTACAAGAAGCCCTGCACCATATGGGTAAGCTATGTCTGCTGCTACTTGTACCACAGACTAGCCATAGGGACTTCTGACAGATCCTGGCTCAAAAATATAAATGTTGTTTCAATTAAAATGCAGGCAGAGAAAAGGGAATGAAGTTGGCAGGAGAATGAATTACTGAGAGGTATAACAAGTCTTCATATCCCACACTCAAATGGTTCCTTTAAAAAAAAAAAAACTTTCAATAGCTAAAAAACATTTATGTTTCCCCCCTTGGTAACAAGTTTTACCTTAAATAACATTTCTAAAGAAATAGTTTTCTAAAAATAAGCCTTTAGATTAAAACATAGCTTCTGTTCTGTGCACTTTTATTTAAAAATTATTTAGTATTAAAATCAATGTTTTAAAACATAGAAAATAAACTGATTTTGCAAACTTCAATAACTTACAGTCATTACAAAAAGTTTAATTTTTTAATAAATAATATGAGTTAACAATTACACCAAAATGTTAGCAATTATTAGGCACTTGTCAAAAAATAGAAAAGGATCCATTTGTTATATCTGAAAAACAACTTAAAATTAATTCTGATTCAAAAAAGCTCAAAGCCCCAGTAGGTCTTATAAGACAAAGCAAAGATGTATGAAAGTGTTTCCTATCAAAAGAAAATCAAGCAAATATATTAATGTAAGAATCCACCCCCCTAGAAAGTTACCTTACTACTATTTCTTTATCAATAAAACATCTTGAAAATCATCCCATCTCTGAATATTTAAATACTATGTATAAATATACTATTTTAAAGTAAAATTTTTAAATTCTTTTAAAATGTATACTGCAATAATATATCAAATAAAAATAAAATATACTAGAATTCTACTATCAATACCTCAGAAAACTTCAAGAGCCTTAACTCTCAAAACAGAAGGAGAAGCAATATATTAAAAAAAGAAAACTTCTTCGCCTAGGGCAGGATACCCAGGGTGCTTATGAACATGTACTTATGTAAGTATGCACATAGACTCCATATTTATAGAAAGCCAACTATCTTACTAATGATGATATTTTGTTAAATGCAATTAAACACAAAATAAACTACTGAATAACAGTTCATTATAAATGAGAACAGTTTGTTTATATCTATTGCTTTTTCCATCTTGCGCTGCAGAAAAGTGAAGTTATTCATCATATTTACTAAACATATGAACATACTCAGATATCCTACTGCAAAAGTGCCTGCGTAATTGCTGTAATAAATACATATTCAAAAAGTCAATGTCTACCTCTAAATATATCCAAATTAGTCATATATTCTATCTCAGTTTAAGATTCAAATTAAGAAGGAGGCTTTCCATTTAGCTGCTTGGTCTTTTCACACCTTCCCCCCTCCCTTCTTACACAAGCAATACACATGCACACACTTCTGCAAAGCAGCCTCAGCTCGCTTCCCAACTGGCAGAAGCATCCCTCAGGGGACAAGTCTTTAAACCTCCGCACTCTTTAAAATTCAACCAGGCAGCAGGTCTATAGACTAGCATATAAACAGTATAGACAAAAAAAAAAAAAAAAAAAAAAAAAAAAGAAAAGAAAAAAAATCCTCTCTCAGCTTATGGCAGTGACAAAGCAGCTCAGCAGTTGATTGTTTCTCCCCTGACAGTATAAGCAGGGTTTGCACAGATCAATAGCTAGAAGCCCTACCTAGCTCCCAGGGCTCAGTTTTCTCCCTTAATTACAGGTGCTATTCACACTGAAGTTTAAAAAGCAAAGAAAAAGTTGGAAGAAGGAATAAAATATATTCAAATATCTTTTTTTGGATCCTTTTAGGAATAGTGTTAATTGAAATTTGTATTTCTTTCATTTATTGGGAAAAGTGTATTCATAAAGACTGATATTTCTACCACACAGTGCTTTTGTTATCACAAACACACATGCACACACAATTTTAGATCTCCAGTCACAGGTACGTGAAAGGTTTAAGGTAATTCTTTCCAGTAGTTATGAATTTTTGTTCACTTCTAAAGAAATTTCCTCAACCAAGAAAAACCGACTTTTAGAATCATCCTTATTCTCCAAAATGTATTATTTTTAATACAAAAAAGTACATTAGCTAGCAATATTGAATGACAGAAATAACAAAAGGAATGAGATATAAAATTGTGAACAGCACAATACAAGAGGCAATTATATGTATTTCTGCATGTGCCTTAAAAACAAGGCATCTATCATTAATGACTGGAAACAAAGATTGATGAATATTTATACATTTTTGGTCCCATCAATACATCTCTACTAATAAGCATAATAATGTAATTGATCTTATAAAAGAGAAGACAGTGAGCTGCCTGTGTTAGATGGTACATTAGATTTTTATCCATGAAACTTCAATATAGCACTACACATTAATTAACGAAAGCATTTAAGAATCTAGTTTTTAAAAAATGTAAAATTCACATCCTGATCAAAGATCCATGCTACAAATTTCTTAGAATTTCTCTAAAAAAAGGAAGATGAAATGAGTTATGTCACTGAAGATATCTGTAATCATTTTTTTCTCATTTTCAATCACTTCTTCCCCTACTCAGTACTGAAACACTGATGTTCTCTTAAGTTTCATATTTTTCTCTTCCCTATTTGAGATCTATATGTAATCTCCTCTACACCTTTGGTTTCCACTAAAAATACTAAATCTCTTAGTCTTTAGACATTTCTGTAAATCCCAGGATTATATATCTGCATACCTCCTGGAATCATTTTCTGAATATTCCTAGACATCTCACATTCAGAATGCAGAAGACATAGACTGTTCTTCAGGTTACTGTCCTTACCATTTAGAGTGGTAGTACCAGTTCCACGGTTCCCAAACCAAACACATGGTATGCACCTAGATCCCTCCTTTTTCCCTGTCCCTCATATAAAATCAGCATTCACCAAAGTTCTTTATTAACTACCTTGCTCTAAAAGTTCTCCAAGAGAGATAAAGGATTGGAAGACAGGTAAGAGGTATCAGAATCACTTGCAATTTTTTGAAACACATTTGATTGCTTATACTGTTAATCCAACACAAGGACTGTAGTGGAATGGTAACTGGTGGTCAATTTAAGCTGAACTGAATCAGCGTGGTGCTATGCACGGATGGCCAACCTCAGGAAGCATAAAAAGGAGATGTGGATAGGAAGAGAGAGTTGTTGTAGGTTCTCCTAAGTGTTGTTTGGAGCTGTTGATTCTCCTCAAATAGCTTGTCTTGCTGGCTCCCCTGATATGAACTCAACTATTATTATTGGAAAACCTCAGTACCTTATTGCTAATAATGGCTGTGGTTCACTTTGGGGGAGTTTTGATACTTACTTTGAGCATCTCTTTCTAGCTCTGGAGGGGAAAATGTGTGCTATTTAATTTCCAGAAGTCTGTCATGCTGGCTTCCTAATATGTACTCGGATGTTCTCATCCTCGGAGGAGCTCGGGACCACACTGTTGCTGAGGACGACTGTGGTACTTTTCAGGGGAACTCTGACCCTTATTTTGAGCATAGTTTCTTGGCTCCAATGCAGAACCCTCAGCCTGTTGACACAGATTCTTCACCCCGCTGGCATAGACTTTCTAGCCTGCAAGGACTTAGGAATCTTCTTCCCTATTTTGCTATATGGATATCTGACTTTGACTTTGTCTCCAGCTTCCTCTATTCATGGTCACAGAATGAGCTGCCAGAGTTTAGCACATCACTTGAAGAAACAGCAGTGATTTAGCAATATTCAGTGAAAGAAGCATCAATTTCTGTCTCTTTTTGTCAAAGAGGAAGAGATTTTCAGAAGATCCACCACTGACTTTCCCATTATATCTAATTAGCCATACTGTGACAAGCCAGTTCTAAACTAATCACTGGCAAGGGAAATGGTTATCTATGCACAGTTTAACCTCAGAGTGGTTACAGGGAAAGTCAGAATTAATCTTAATTTACTTTCTAATAACCATGGCACATGTAATGTTACAGAAGTTTGAGAAAAGTAGTATTTCTAATTAATATTCATCTTAATGTTAATCAGATAAATTTACAATATAGTTCTTAAGAAAAACATTACACAAAACAGTTTTCAAATATTAATATTTTATTTGTGTGCTTTACATGTCCAGAATTATTTTGTAATAAAAAGGTCCACTTGCCAATTTTAATATCATTTTTACAAGGACCACAAATGTCTAAAAGGATGATTACTTAATTTTAAATACTATCTCCAAAGTAAATCAGAATAACATATATTTATTCAATCTTTTTGAAATTTATATAAAGAATCAATAACTTTTTTTTTCTTAAAGGGAAACATGTACCAAACTGCTCTGCCACAGAGGATGCATAACACAGCACTGAGATTGCCAACTGTGTGATGAGGTGCTCCAGGGCACTACAGCCAACTATCAGGGATATTTTAAATTTTCAAAGGAAACATAGCTATACCAATAGGGTGATTAAATCAAGAATGCATTTTATTAAGTCTTATATTAACATGGTAAGTTAAAGAGACAACTTCTTTGAGCATCATCATCTCCATTTTATTTTTAAAGAACTGTTTTAAATTTGTAGAATCTGTTTTAAACTTAAAGAAAAATCAATGGGATAACTACGGGATTTTTCTCTCAGTTTTCACTTTTTGTGATGTTTCAATTAGAAATAAAAGTCTCCATTACTACTCTTCTCTAGGTAAGGAAAACACTGTGTATTCTCACACTAAAACTGTTTAGATTA